TTTATTTGGATTTAATATGTGATACGAAACACATTTGTTTCTATATAAGATTAATTTTCATAATCATTCTTACTTCTGATTGTTCTTTGACTATGTTTTTTGTGGGTTTGTGAGGCTTTATATGCCATGTAACTTTAATTATGGAGTATATGATTTTGGGTACATGCAAATAATTCAGGAACTGTTTTATCATTTCTGTATCATTCTTTGTCATTTTCTTGGTCTTTCTTTCTTGTCCCATGGCAAAGTTTGTTGAGGTCTCCACAAAAAAACTTAACTACACCTCCTGATTTGTGTTTTTTTTTTTGTGAAAAATGTTAACACATCGCTCATGGCTCTTTTGTTCATACAACAAGCTTTAAATAGAGGAATCTTTTCTGGGATATAGAGAGTAGTAGTTACTTTTGCATTTTTTAGTTCCATCATTGTATGTCTGTGTGAAACATGTATTATGTAAATGAGAACCATTATTATGGTTTATCTTAGGCTAAGTTAATAAGCAAGATAGTTACCAAAATAGGAGTACTATATTTTCTTGGGGAGTGTGGAGAAGGTTATGTCTGCTGATAACATCAAAGGTGTGATCTTGGCTATCTCATCCAGTTTCTTCATTGGGACTCAAGAAGGCTGGTTCTGGATCTGGTCTTAGAGATGATATTTACCATTTCTTCATTGAGAACTAAACTTCATTTCCCCCTTGTTAATTGAATGAAGTTTAGATATGACGTGTTTGAATACAATGGGTTGCTATCCTACTAAGGCATCTTAGATATGAACCTGTTGAAGTGAAACTGTGTTGCCTTTAGATGTTGTGGTTATGATGGTGTTGTTGTGTGTCCTCTGTCTACTGTTCAGGAACATTTCTCATTTGTATACAAGTATGCAAGTATGGTCTTAGCTTTTGTCTAATATCCAATCATGAAGCCAATTAGCCAACCCACAGACACATGAAAGAGAGATTTTCCTTGTAATGTGAAAAAAGACCAACTACAATGTACACTGATGTTGTTGCATCAAATGTTTTTTTTTTATTTATTGAATTTGGGTTTGCTTGTTGGCTTTAGTTACTTGGTAGACTTAAGCGACTTCAACAATTCAACTGTTATCGTACTGGATAATTTATTCATTTTCTGTTGCTCTTCCTTTTCAAATTTGAAGAGTGATATTTTTTTAGAGAACTGAGGGAAAGTTGAAAGCTTTTCTTTGCTTGTTAGTTTTCCATTTTCCCCTTTTTCCTTAGAAGAGATTTTTTATATGTGCATTAGCTACCCCATTAAGTTTTTCTTTACTTGTTACTTTTTCATATTTTGAATAGAGCATACCTTGTCTCAGTTACAATTCTGCATTTTCATAGCCTCTTCAAAGATCCCATTCCACAATTCATTTATCATGATTTATGACAACCTTTTTATGTGAGACAATGTAAAAATTGTTTTTCAGATTATGCGGCAAACAGGTGTATTAGAAAAAATGATTGGAGAATGGAGAGGCTCATAAATATGATGAAATAAGTGATCAATATATTCCATTAGGTCACCTTCTGTGGTTTCCTTACACCAAAAGAGCAAAAGATTCAAATCTTTGTTCTGAATTCTGTGCATGGGACTCATATGAACCTGCATTGTCGTATTAGTAATAAAATAAGTATTGGTATAAATATTAGTTTCCTATTACTATCAAAATGTTACAAGCATGGTTGGGAGATGAAGAAGAAGATTGAAAGCTGTAAAGATAAACAACCACTTTCCCTTGGCAGGGTAGGATTCCTTCCCATCTTTGGTATTGACCGAATTTCGTGTACTTGCCGAAAAGACACAAGAAATAGCTTCAAAAATGCTGATGATATTATTAATAAATAGAACCACTCTTTTTGCTTTTCACGTTCATTGCCTTTGGGTAGCTTTATTAATAAACAGAACCCACAAGTTTTAAATAGAATTTTTTGTACAGCATGATCTGAAACGTGATCCTCTGTAGGTACTGGATAGGAATTAATTTGTCCATTTTAAACACAGTCATCATGACATCTTCTTGGCTTTTGCAGTGTCAAAAACTTTTGTTATGCCTTTGTGTAGCTTTATTAGAAATGATCAATTTTGTTAGGAATTATGCAATTAGTGGTCACTTATTGAACTCCTGTTCTGACAGGTGCTGGAGGCTGTTCTTACTTATTGGAGCCACTATGGTGGACTGGAATGTTAACAAGTAGGCTCTCTCTCTCTCTCTCTAGAGACACACACACATATCTCCCCCCCCCCCCTCCCTCTCTCCAAAAATATCTTCCACTTTGATAGAATCCTGTTCCTTTAGGGAATGGGGAGATTATAATGCATCCTTAGAAAATAATTGTAGTATTGAGGAGATAGAAACAAAGTAGCTTTCACTGAGAAAGTATTGTCTTATATGCTTCAATCCCAATACATACATGTCTTTAAAGAACTTGCTGATTTAACCAGACTCTTCCCTCATTTCCAATTAAAAACTAAGCATCTGGTACATCTAATGTAGTAAAATATCAAGAATCTGTGTAGTTGCTAAATAAGAGGGTAGGAATGAAAACAATTCGTTATTTGGTATGAGACAGAGTCCTGGTGATTGTTTTATGAGTTTGCTGCTTTCATGAGTTGCAACTTGCAACTTTCAAATGTTTCTCATACATATTGTGATATTTAAGAGGCAGTGCAAAAAGAAGATTAGATGGGTTCCGCTTGGTTTATAGAGTTCTTACTTCAAACATAAAAAGAAGTTGAAACAGCTAATTTTGTGCTATCCTGCTCTCACTTAAGTGCTCTATGCATTTGGCTTATCTGAGTGATTGTCTTTTGGCAGTGATTGTTGGAGAAATAGCTAAATTTTGCTGCGTATGCTTTTGCTCCAGCTATACTTGTAACTCCTCTTGGTGCACTAAGTATTATTATCAGGCAAGCATGGTTGACTAGGAAGTCTTTGTTTTTTTCCTTTGGTTTCTGTAGCGTAGTATCTGAAATATACCTTCGTGCAGTGCTATACTCGCACAAATGTTTTTAGGGGAGAAACTACACATTTTTGGTGTTGTTGGTTGTGTTTTGTGCATTGTGGGTTCAACCATCATAGTAATGCATGCGCCGCAAGAGCGTGAAATTGAGAATGTGAAGGAACTCTGGGATCTTGCTACTGAGCCAGGTACATATTGACAATGAGAGCAATATGCTCAAAATAGTTCATTTTAATATCTCAAATGTATACGGCTTAAATTGTCTTTACTCTATGCAGAAAAAAACATTTTTTTTGTTTTAGATTCTGTAATGCATCTACTTTATTTCTAGCCACATTCTAAATCTTCATATCAACTTTTGTTTTAGATTCTGTAATGCATCTATTTTATCTCTGGCAATCTCCATTCAGAAAAAATGAAATATCACTTGCATTACTCAAGTCTAAATTTTCATGTCAACTTTATGGAGATTATTAGTGGAGTTTACGATAATAGAACTAATAAATCACTCTTTTGATATAAGTATCTATAGTTCTAGAAATGAAAGTTAAGCATTTTTAAAATGGAATGAAGTGAAAATAAAGACAATGTTTTGTTAAACGTGTCAATTTGGTGGTGAAACAGAGGTTGCTCAAGAGTCAGCGGGGGACAAAGAAGAAACGATTTAAATTACAAGGATGAAAACAAAAATAGGAAAATTTCCCAAAATAGGAGTAAAACACTGTTATTTGTTGCGTTAGTGGCGTACTGTTCTTGAAATGTAAAATCAATAATTTCGATACTTCCCAGGTCACATATAGATTGTTGGGATGCCTAGATCATTTAGCTCATTCAAATAGAAGTTCTCATTTGGGGTTTTGTCATGGACCCAAAACTTGAAGTTGTCAAAGGTTTCAAACTAACTACGTACTAATGATTGTGAGATAACTTAAGTGATGCTTTCTAATAGATCGATTGATATTAACAGTGTAAATTTGCCACATGACTCATAAGAGTTTGCCGCCTGGTGCCCGGAATAGGCTACAAAGTTTATAACTGGTGTAGTTTGATAAGAGCCATCCTTGATCTGTATGCTTTTGGCCACATGCTGTATGCTATAACAGTGTAAATCTGTCACATGCTGTTTGGCCAAGAAAAGGTGTCCACCCTTGATCTGTATGCTTTTTTGGAGATTGACATTTCTTTTAAGTCTTTGTAGGTACACGTTTGCTTTAAAATGAGCACACCACAATTTATACTCAATTTAAACTCTGTAAAATGGCTTAGTTTCTCAGAAAACTTTCTGATGCAGATGTATACATTCTAGGCCAAAACATTAGATTATACTCCATATGTAAAATAGCCTCTTGTATGGTTGAATGGTTGTTTCCTCATTCTATTTTAAAGTGGCACCCCCCATTTCTAGCTTTTCCCTTTTAAACAATACCTACACGATTGAATGGTTGTCCTCGTTTCAAACTGTTTTTCCCCATTTTTTTTGTTTCCTAGTGTTGGGCACGGATATCGCGCAACGCGCGTTACCGCGCTAGTGTCCATATAAACGGAAGTTGGGGCTAAGTAAATAAATGATCAAAAGTACGGAGTATGTATTATCCTTAATTATGCCCTTATTTATATATTCAGGGCAAAAAGTAACTCGTGCGAAGCTATGGTCACATTTAGCTTAGCTTAGCTTCATGTATTTAATTTATTACTATAATAGAAATTATCCTCAATAGGAATAAAAGCGTTTTGAAATTCCTAATTAGAACTTTCATGTTTTTATTCCCTAAACAGAAGTAGTTTTTGTCAAGTTTGGTAAAACGGTCATGTTTAAAGCGTGGTAATACCAAACTTGGTAGAAACTACTCATATTTAGGGAATAGAAAACCTGACAGCCGTGTTTTGGAATTTCAAATTTTTTTTTACTCCTATTTAGGGAATTTTCCCTTATTATTATGCTTCTGATTTTCCCAATCCCTCAAGTTGTGCTTTCCCATTGGGTCCTTTGATCCTTATGTAGAGTCTATACTGATCATAAGTCATTGGTGAATATAATGCTGGATTTTCTGGCGACACAAACTCTTTCGCCGGTTGTATCACCAAATCACCGCGGGGACTATAGAAATATGCGAGTGACACACGCTCTTTGTTTGAGTTCACAATCGCTCTATGTTCAACGCTTTTGTATATCGCATTGGTTAACACCTGCATAAACATATATTCAAGAATGTTGAAGTCCCACACTGGTGAAATATGAAATAATAAAGTGCTATACGGAGTATTAAAATTCGGATTTATTCCTCCTATGCGGTTGATTTTTTAGAATGTAACACCAAGTCCTTTACTTGTGTTGGTAAAATCTCCAAAGACATATTATTGGTCAATTAAAATAGTTTAAAGTAATTATCAATCAGGTGACTAAACTAAATCCAACGATCACATTTATAATTTATTGAATATATATATATATATATATATATATGTATATATATTCGCACGTTTATTACATTGTTTTTATTAAAAAACTCTATTGATCCTTAAAAGTCTCATAATCGAGCGGATAGTTTGTTGATCATTGTTCTATCTTTTGACTATAGTAACTATTATGATTGCCCCCTTGTCCAAATGTTTTGCAAATGTCAATATCATACACATGCAATTCGACGTAATTATAAAAATAAAATAAAAACGTACGGAAAGATGTATTCTATGCGCGCTTATGCATGTTGGAACATTAGAAAGTACGTTTATGAACATTAATTGCAGAAAACAACTATTTTATGCTCAGATCAATTTTATTTTAAAAATATGCTAAAATAACTAATGCGTTAATACATTTATATTTTTTACAAATATCCAAAGTCAAACTATTGCCTTTTATTTTTATTTTTTGTTATTTCTCACAAAATTTCATCTCATTCTAAATTCCCCCACTATTTGTTTTACGGGTTCCAAGCAAAGGTTAATGTATAAAGAAATGTTTAATTTGCTTCCCATGATCGCAAATTCTAAACCGAGCATGTACCGTACCATTGTACTTCTGTGGTATCAACCTAATTAAACTCAACAAAAAATCACAGAAGTGTGTAAACCTCAATTCTAATTTCTACTGGGGATTATAGTAAAAAAAAAAGACCCGGGATTCCGGTTTGACTATTTCACTACGGCATACTTTCCAGTTTTTACTTTTCACTATTTTTTTAATGTTAAAGACTTCCTTAAAAAATGTTGAATAAAGGCTTAGAACATAGATAGTATACTCCGTATTATATTTGATTGGGGTATATATCGTTTTACGTACAGAGTATTGCGTGTAAAACATTCTTGGATGCGGTATTTTAAGTGCTTTATAAAAGTTTGGTAATCTTTTTTGTACTTCTCTGAAAAATTGAACACTCGACTCACGTGGATACACGTCGCGTATCAATATTTTGTTAAAAGTAAATGAAAAAAAACAGCAAAAGTTTTCCAATTATATTCCGATTTCCTAGATCACATTTCTAAATAATATAAGTCAGTTTGATAATTATCAATTATAAGAGTATATTTTCATCAATTTTATAGTTCGATCGATTTTGGCAAAATTTAGTGACAGCTACAAAGAAAAAATAATAGTATAGGCGTTGAACCGGAGGCGGATTCAGAAATCTGAATCGGACTGAACTGAAGATGAATTATACCACACTTAAATATAAGTGGAGTGGGCTAGCTAAATTTTAAAAATGAAAAATATAACACTAAAGAGAAATTGAAAAAAATAAGTTACCATATGTTTCAATCCACCATAAATAAAGTAGATCCTCCCTTGCGTTTAACTTTCACATGCGCAAATAAGTTCTTATGTTTTTTAATACGAAGTACTTGTATTAAATTATATGTGTACTCCGTTCCCATACCCTATATTTTTATATTTTATCGCATCACCGTACTCATTTCAGCATTTCAGTCTTTTCACATTAAAAAATATTGGTGATATGTAGCCCATGCGTAATGAGAGTTTATAGCATGAATAAAATTAACAAATATACTACATAATTATCATGGTTGCTTTTAAATACAAAAGTTACTTAATTCTAAATCATATAATGATCAAAACAGATAAAAGAAAAGACTGTAAATGTCATATTTTGTAAAAAAAAAATAGTGATCCAGGAGTTTGGGATATGGTTTAGTTCCATTTAGGAATGCTCTCATATATACAGCTCAGAATATGTTAGCTAATTAATTAGTATGCTAACCTGAATTTGATCACCAATATTAACAATGAGGGCTTGGTTGACTGGTTTGACGGTCACCCAGTCGCTATTTTTCCGGACCTGGAGGCCGAGAACGTCGGTGTCTGGCAAGAGTACGGTGAGACCGCCGGGATCGGAATGAGAAGAGAGGCCGAGGGTTAGGTCTGGTTGAGGGCATTTTGGGTAGAAGTTAATCCTCATGCAAGCACCAATATCATCAGCACCTCCAAAAGCATTCTGTAAAAATCCCTCATCTAATCCCAAGTTTGTTGACAAAATACTCATTAATCTTCCACAAAACTTCACAACTTCTTCCGAGTATTCCTCTACCGTATCCCTGGTCACATCACATCACCAACCAATCATCATTAACAATAATGTTTTTATTTAAACTGATATTTTCTGATCTGATGTGATCAGTAAAGTTATAATTTCTAAGTTACACGTAGTCCAATTTTTATGTGCTGATTTGATAATTCCAACTCGATCTGATAGGCCAATTAAAGAACATACTTAGGGAGTGTTTGCGATTACTTCAATTTTAAAAAGTGATTTTTTAAAGTGATTTTGGGAAAAGTGATTAATAGTAAAAGTTGGTAGTGTTTGAGACAAAAGTGATTCTGAAAAAGTAAAAGTTGGTGGTGTTTGGTAAAATAAGTACTTTTTATGTAATAGAAAAAGTGAGAAGCAGTTTAAAGCACCTTTCTGTCTGCTTCTAGTTTTTAGCTTTTAAGTGATTAATTTAAGCCAAAAAAGCTGAAAAACGCTTTTTTTAATCAACCCCAAACACTCCTTTATTACCCTTTCATGGTGTTAATTAAGTCAAAACGTTGAATTCCTAAATTGGAGCAAGGAAGAAAGTCCGAAACATGTTGCCACCTTTTTAGAGTACATTTTCAATTCCTATACACTATAGAGTCCATTGACCCGCTAGGTCTCTAGCCATCCGAATTTCTAAATTAGATCTTTGAACTCGTTCAATGCATGTGTGTAAAGTTAGTATATTTTTAATTGGATTCAAATTTTCTAATTTCATATTGTCTGTTCTAATCTAAACTAATTTGGTCTAATGTTTTGTCAAGTATGATCTGGTTTGATAATTTTTTATTGTACGTGTAATTTACAAATCAGTCTGATAGTTTAAGTCTGGTCTAATATGAATTGATCTAGTCTGATAGTTTAAGTTTGGTCTAATTTGTTTTGATTAGGTGTTTTATGAGATTCAAATCAGTCCAATCAAAAAGTTTCTTATTACAATATTCGAATTGTTATCAATTTATCATATCATCAAACACTAGTGTTTGATACTTTGATTCTAACTTCTAATTAATTGAAGACTCGCGTATCTGTGTGTATAAACTTAATACGTAGTACAACTTTATTTTATAAAACATCAAGTGCACTCCAATTAACTAAATAAATTAACATACGCTTTATGGATATAAATCTAACTAAAATGTATTTTGAATATGACACATAAGAATTTATCAAAAAGATATATATGACTGAACAATATTTATTTTCCTAAATATGACGTACGGCCACCAACGTGACAAAATTATAAAATGCACCTCTTTATTCAATAATTGATTTCATATATCTATGATCAATTAAATAGTACGTAGTCATAAAAATATAGTGGTGATGTTTCAAGAGAAACCAAATATAGTGGTCATGTCTATGATATGATATATTGTGTTTTAGAATGGTTTTACTTGCATTAGTTTATTCTCTATGAAACCAAATCAAATAAACCAAACCATACTAATTAGACTCAAATAGACCATGCCACAGAAAGACTTCATAATCATCCAACATCATTATCCATTTACCCGTGTACTAAAACAATAATGACTGATGCTTTATAACAAAAAAGCACATGCAGTTTAGTGCATCATTTAGCTTTATTTCATTATATCTCAAAGCCAAAAATAGTGAGTCTTTGGCTCCATTGGAAACGATGAAAATACACATAGGGGCCATTTGTATTTCAATGTGCTCTCCCTTCAAACGTTGCAATTAGCAACGTTTCACGTGTAAAACAATTGACATTTTGCTTGAACAACCAATTCCAAACGCAACCATAAACTAGACATTTATCAGACCATACTGGACTAATTCAGAGCAGACCAGACTTAAATAAACAAGATCAAACAAGACCATGAAATTTGAATCCAACTAAAAAATATTCCTTTTGAATTTGGAAATGAGTGACATTTAAAGCAAAAATAATGTAATTTGACTTGATTTTGTTTGGTTTCATACATTTGTTTGGAGGAATGAACCCTCCTTCATTAGACATTAGTTTTGCAAGTCTGAAAATTCAAAACTAAACTTAAAAAAACGGTATTAATTACTTCGAATACAAAGATTCCATATATATCCTTAATTGGCAAATGTCACTATAATTTACGTAGTATTTTTTTTGACAGAATGTCACTATAGCTATGAGTCTTTAATTTGGTTGATGAAATAATTTAATGGTGTCGTTTTTCAAAGACTCTACACACTAGTGTCTAGCTAGTACTAATTAAAAAATCAACTGTAATTGCGTGACGATGGGATAGATTATTTGTCGAATTTTATTCTACGTATTTGTCAACCAATTGAAATGCAAGTTAATTACCACATCAATACCTCAGCGCGTACGTCACGAGTTTATGAAATATGTACAATTATTTTTTACATAATAGTGACTCTAATGCCATATTTATAGTAACTTAGGTTAATATTTTATCTACAAATTTTATTTTAATACTCCGTAATTGTTAACGAAAAACCTTATGTACTCAGCTTATACATTAATTAAGATTGTGTATGGTTGGAGTTTTGGAATCAATGAAATAGTATATAATGATAGGAAAATGAATAAAAAGTGACTAGGTGTTACATTTTTGTTATCCCTTCTATTCTTAGAATTAAAATAAAAATTAATTACAAAATATTTCTCTGCTGATCTCCAATACCCTTCAACATCCTTTTAAAAACCCAACTCCCAATTGACCTTTAGATCCCATATTTCAATCGCCTTGTTTTCTTTTATATTTGAAAAGGATGTTCATATACTACCTTAAATAATGACTAAAAGATGACTACAATGAAGATAGAACTAAAAATGTGTCTTTTTATATATAGTAATTATAATAGTAAAATGGAGTGATTATACCGTGGTCAAATTCTATTACACCTTAACATGTTCTTACTTTTATTTTTTTTTTATAGTTTTTAGGATGTTTTTTTTTTGGACTGAAATTTGTTGGTCTGGTCTGGTTTGATCTGATCTGGTCTGGTAAAAGTCGGGTCTCTGTGTATTTTATAACTACGGAAGTCAAGCCTGGTCTGGTCTGGGACTGAAAACAGTTCAAAACAAAACATCCTTAATGTGCGTCTTTAACTATTTTATTTTTATTATATAGACGCATTGGGAACTTCTCATAAAGGTAGGGGTGGGCAAAAATACCGAACCGACATGGTACCGAACCGAACCGATATGGTACCGGACCGAAAAACGGGGTTAGAAACGGATCTCAATTTTTTTGTCCGAACCGAACCGTACCGATTCTAAACAATGCATTGGGAACTTCTCATAAAGGTAGGGGTGGGCAAAAATTCCTTCTATTTAAGCACAAACAGAGCCTTATTAATCCTTCCTTTTTATTTGCGGCATATTTCATTTTTAAAAATTTCTTTTACCATTCTTGTTCACTTTTGTAATTTGGAGTGTTTTGCTTTTTCAAAATTAAATACATTAACACCCTCACTTTTCATCTTTATTTCTCCAATTTATTCATTTTTTTCTTCTATTTTCTCTCATAATATTAAGAGCTTTCTAATACCCGGAGTAATAAATATTGTAATATTAAAGCCATTTTATTTTTCTCTTAAATTATGTGATAAAAAACAGCACAATGATAAATTAAAATTTCGAAATATATATTGATGGTATTATTAATTATAACTTCCTAATGAAAGTGGAAGCTTCGTCTCCTAATGGGTGGAGTCCTCAGTACGTAATCGCGTGAAAAACACTTCTGGACGCAACGAGTATCCAAATAAAGAAAAAGAAGAACTTCAATTCATCATATTTTCCTACATCTCAAAATGGGATCCCTCATCCATGTTTCAAGGCTTTACTCTTCTTATTATTTAAGCGTTCTTAATGAGATCGATAAGGCACTCGCTTAATTACTATATATATTAATTTTTTTCTAAACAAGATCTAATCACACTATTTTATAATATATCTTAATTCGTGTGCTCATTCTAATGATAATTAATACTCCCTCGGGTCCTTATTAAAGTTCTCACTTTTCTTTTCGGGATGTCCCTTATTTAAGTTCACACTTCCATTTTAGGAAACAAAACACTGCAAAACAGTGTTAAACAGTGCCAAACAGTGTCCAAGCAGTGCACTCCACAGTAAAGTCAAATTTATTTTCTTAATCTGTGTGAAGTCAAATTGTGAACTTTAATAAGGATCGGAGGGAGTACAATGGATGGAAGAGAGACAGCACTTGGACGTATATATATAGATAGTACGGAGTATATATTTTCAATAGAATTCCTCTTTGTTTTTTGAGCGAAAACAAAAGGAAAGATGACTCGTGTAATTAATTGAATAGGAAAAACGGCATTTTTCAATTGTTTAACTATATGAGGTTTGCAAACTACTAACTAGTCCCAATGAAATCTTTTTTGATCATCAATCATATCTATATCTTTTCAATAGTAGATAATTGAATGTCTTTTTTCTATCAAATAAGATGTCAAACAAATTGAAGATTACATTTACCTTTTGTTATATTTTTTAAAAGATTGACATGATCTTTCTATAAGTTAACTAACTATCCGTTTTTTCAATATCATATAATGTCTTTTTCCATTTAAATTTGGAGTATCTTTGGTCGCATGTCACTTTGAAGCTGGCACCTCTATCTCCTCCTAAACTTAAAGTTGGCATTCATTTGGTGATTTGAGGACTAAGTAGTTGAGCATATATTTTGGAAATCCCCTAAATAAGATTAAAACAAGAATTTATTCACTCTTATTTTAAGAATTTAAGTTTTGATCACTTTATTCTTTTAATAAGATTTATTGGCCGGGAATTGTTATGTAAACCAACAAAAGTGAAACTAAATAAAGGCAAGTTCCAGATACTTGTATTACCCTCGTTCCTTACAACTTCCTTATCTTTGACTTTCATCATTGATATATTTTTGTAAACGCACTTCCAAGGCACTCTGCAAATCCTTCACAACCTGCCTCCTCAATTTTACCTTGTCCATGGTTGGAGTCCAAATACGAAATTGAAGAGCTTGTCCTCCTCGGTCATGTTCTCAATGTCTAACATGATCGATGAGAACGCCTTGACATAATTTTTTGTACTGAATTGTTCAGTATAAAAAATAATACGGAGTACTATGTATGATTTCTTGTTGTTGAAGATACGCGTAAAACGGATAAAAATTATAAGAGAGTATAACTTTCACAAGAATATACTTATACTCTCTATTAAACAAAATCATTGGTCAAATTTTATAAGAGAGAATTCTCTAAATAAGAGTAAAAACGTTTTTTAAATTTCAAAATAGAACTATGATGTTTTTTATTCCCTGAATATATAGAAGTAAATTTCTGCCAAGTTTGGCATTACTAGGCTTTAAACATGACATTTTTTCAGAACTTGGCAAATTACTGCACCAAAATAGGGGTTTTCAAAACTTGGTAGATTAATGCTTTTCAAAATAGGGGTTTAATACACCAACCCCCGTGTATGTGATTTAAAAAATGCGTTAAACCCTCTTGTGTTATAATTGATCATGCGCCAAACCCCCTCCATGAACAAATTTAATTTTCAAAAAAATGAAAATGGTTAGTTTTTTTTGTATAATTTAGATATTTTGACAAAGTTACTTGCACATTCATCTATATTATTAAAAAAAGGTGATTTTAGAATTGTAAAATTTGTTCTTAGAAGGGGTTTTGCACATGATTAATTATAACACAGGAGGGTTTGACGCATTTTTTTAAAATCACAGAGGGCTAATGCGCCGATTTTTTTTTCACGAGGGGATTTGGTGCAATGAGCCAATGACCCCCAGATTACTCTTATTCAGGTAACAAAAAATATGATAGTCATATTTTAAAATTTGAAACCGTTTTTACTCATATTTAGGGCAATTTTTGATTTTATAATCATTCTCTTAAAAAGTCATACTCCTTATATGACAAACTTTCAAGTGTATATATTATGGGTAGTCTAAAAAGGAATTGCTCATCCAATCAAGTAAATATGAATGCATTATATATATTGCTCATAATTAATTAAGTATAGATATACCTCAGATGAGTGGGGATTTGAGGCCATTTGTTATGATCCTTGATGGAAGATGGAAGATAGTGAAGAAAAAAGTAGTCGTTCCAATCAAGAACCGCCCCCTTCTCCACCCCTAGACGGCTGCCGTAGCCCTCATAGGTGGCCGGCGAGTTGGCATACACTTCCTTAACTTCCACCGGCTGGTGGAAGAACTCACGCCACACTTCCCGAGCACCCTCCATCAGCTCCGGCTTAACGCCGTGGTTCACCGCCTGAAAGAAACCCCATTCCCGGCATGCCGCCGAGACTTGGGACATAACCTTAGCCTTCGCAAGGGCAACGTCGTCGCCGTCGCCGTGCTGGAACAAAGGTCCGAGATCGATCACCGGAATATCAAGATCCCCGTCATCGCCGCCGAGGGAAGGGCGGTCGGCCGGGGGCTTGATGTATCTTTCCGGGATGGCGGAGAGGCCGGCGGCGGCGAGTGACTGGACTCGGACGATCGGTTCCGTCCAATCGGTGGGCATGTTGTTGATCGTCATTATAATTGCTAATATACGGATTAAAGAGTTGTGATTATGTAGATGTAATTAAATACGTACTACGTAGTTGTAAATTAACTTGCAATATTACAGTAAAGTGTAACGAGACACAATCATGCAGAGATATGAGAGGGGTCGGGGTAGCGTGATTACCTAATAGATTTGTGAAATGGGAGGCATTTAGAGTTGGTTTAAATAGAGCAATACATTTTGTTGACGTAATTAGTTACATAACTCTTCATTTATTTAATGGCAGAATGCTTTAAATAAACTTGTCATTTTCTGATAAGATCTTGGCCGTTTATGATACCTTGTCAAGATTTAGGATTTCATCCTAAAATGTTATCTTGAAAGTAGTTCACATCTTAATTAATATAATACGGAGTACTTTGTTATTTCACAATTTTGAAGTGTAGGAGTGTAGGACTTGACATTTTCAGAAACTAGAATCTATTTTTTTAAAATTTCAAAAATAGAATATTTTATTTGTGATTGGATAAATATTGTTATACAGTAGGAGTTGTTGTCCCCCGGGTCGTCGAATCGTCTGCCACCAATTGTCAGAATTTTTTTCCCATGTTGCCGCTGCCGGAGTTCACCGCCGCCACTATTGGAATGATCCTCACTGAAATCCTAATATGAAGTAATTCACATTAAACTAATAACATTTTCCTAACTGAAATCCTAATAAATTAACTGAAATCCTAATAATTCACTATAATAATTCACTAGTATTTTTACAAACCCATTTGAATTAACTAACATTATAAATTCAAATCCTAAACGAATTTCTAATAATAATTCACTCATATCTTTTATGTATTACGGAGTAGTTTATAATTTTTTGTAATTAACTAACAATGTAATTGATTAAAAGGAATACATAACATAATATTTCTGCAAGCCCATTTGAATTAACTAACATTTAAATTAAACTAATATTATCAATTGAAATCTTAAATAAAAGGTATTAACAATAATTGCTAAATTAATATGTGTATATATATGCACTATAAATATTTCAAGTTAAATAGGGTTTTAATATATGCACAATAAATTATAACATCACTAACATTTCAAGTTAAATAGGGTTTTAATTAATTAACAACTTCACTAACAATATTAATTAATTAATAATATAAATAAATTTATATTTAGCATAAAAAATTGATACATTAATTCAATCATTGAGTTAATATCGTGTGTGAGCTAATAGCCCACATATCAGATATTATACTAAACTGATACATTAACTCAATCATGACATATCTTATCTCCAATATGCATTGAATTTGAGAATGACATCCAATTACATTCTTCAAATTCTCTACTAACACTGTATTATACCTTGAATGAATTAAAACTTGTATCAATTGAATGAAATGTTCTTGCATATAAAAAACAAGTGTGTCACAGATTTGTCACTGATAATTCTGTGACAACTAGTAACCATACAACTTTAACTAAGTGATCGTTGGGGGTGAGAATAATTTCCATTTGTCACGAATTTTGTCACAGAATTAGCCGTGACCAAACAAAAAATATTTTAAAACTTTTGTCACATATATAATCCGTGACAGATCACCGGACCAAAAAAACTGTTCGCCAGCATATGTTTTGGGATGCCGGCGTGATTTTGTCATTGACTTTGTCACGGATGCAATGCGTGCAATGACAAATGTTTGCCACAGATTATTTTCGTGACAAAGTTTTTTCGTGAGCTAGTGTAAATATCCGTGACAAACAGTCACGGGCGTAACCCATGACAAAAATCCGTGACAAAAGCGTTGTTTTTTGTAGTGTATAACATAGCGAGCAGCCAAATCAAAAGGTTGTTTATCAAACACTTAAAATAGCTGTTTAACAAGTCAAAACCGTATCCAAAACACTAAAAATGGTTGATTGACAATACCACCCCTAAAGCTAAAGGTTACCCTATTGAAAGAAAAAGCTCCTCATAGTTTGTCACACCGCCTCTACAAAAAAGGATGGCATCCCATCCCGGAGGCCTCCAGCACCAACCAGACAGTTAGTTGGGAGGATGTAAATTGGACTTTAATCCTAAATTGGCAGATAGCGAGTGAGACTCTGATCCAGGTTCTTGCAGAGTAACCTTTTATCGCACTTGTCAAGATTCGAACCCGAGACTTATCCCTTGTGGCACCCCCTTATCTAACGGTTGAGCTACACCCAGGGACGAACTTATGTGTATGGGTAGGGGGGCAATTGCCCCTCCCAACTTTTTTATTTTTTAATACTACTACTATCAGATATGAAATGATAAAAAAAAGTTCTAGTCAAAATTATATGATAGAAGTCTCAAATCTCAATTTGAGATGCTTACAGGTAGATTTTTTGATAAATTTTTTGACCATATTTTTTATGAACAGCAGATTATGTCTACCAAATTTTAGCTTAAAATTCATTCGGAAAGTCACTAAGATAATATATGAAAACATGTGGAAGCACCTCAAAAACGGTATAAAGTAAAATTAAGATTTCAAATAGTAATCCATGCCGCCAAGTAATAATAATATGATATACTATTCTGTATTCTCCCGCTCCAATGTATTTTGCAAAAATTGATTGGCACAAGAGTTAAGTAAGATAATAATTAAAGTTTAATTTTTCCTATTTTGGCTCATCCACATGAAGTAGAGACGTTTAAATAAATGAGGAAGGTGTAAAAGTAATTATGAATACAAGTGTCATTTCAACCATCTTAATAGAAAGTGACAAATTATTTCGGCTTAAATCTTTCTTGAATTTTGTCCCATTGGACAAAATTGCGATTGCAAATTGAATTGGGATGGAGGAAATAGCATAAAATACAAGCTTATCTATAGCTCTAGAAAAGATTACTAATGAATTTGAACCTTTCTTTAATCTCTTCTTATATAAAAGGAAAAGAAGTGCGAGGCACATTTTTCCCGCCTGGAACTGTCAACTTCAGCTGTTCATTTTTTATTTCCTGAAGAGAATAATCGAAAGCAATTCCCATTGGCCAAACATGGTGGTGCACACAGTACAAAAAAAACAATCAGGACTCCTATTGGCCATAAAGGTTGGCAGCTACTGCTCACACAAATTGTGAGATCGATTGGTTGATAAGGGCGGTCGAACAGTGTCTGGGATGGGTCATTCTATTCTTAGAAGTACTATAAAAGGCACCACTTCGGTTGGAAGTTTTTCACATCCTTCTGCCTTCACGATTTATTGGGAAATACGAAACACCAAATATATTTCTGTAAGCATGGTTGGAATGTGGTCATTGTTGCTAGACCTAGCGCAGAGGTTTGTTTTTGGCCTTCCCAGATTGTTTTCCGCAGTCTGGGAATATAATGTTTGACAGCTTATGCTTTAGGAGGAAGATGAGTTTAATATGCTGAAGAGGGAGTTTAGTGGCAGCGAACAGGTTTGGGCACTATATTTTTTTTTTGTTTAGTTTTTTAGTTTCACCAATACATTGTTGGTTCACTGATTGAACCATGTTTTCCTTTCTCCAGGTTGGCTCTTCGCAGCAAATTACTTCGAATTGCAAAGATCTGTTTGCAATGTTTAGAATGAAGCCAAATGCACATTTGCAGCGTTATCTTCTTTAATTGTTCGTTTAGTGTTTTAATTTTCATCTTTTAAGTAACTCTTAGAGTCTTAGTGCTCTGTTGGTCACAATAATATTATAAGTTTTGTTTATTGTTTTTGAATATATCAATATTGCATTGCTATAGTTGTTCATACAATTCATAATGTAATTCGAATTACTGTCCGCTAATAAATATTATTTATTGCCGAAGCGCAAAAACGAAATATATATGTATATATAATGAATCGTTATGTAAAAATGAAATTTACTATGTCCATTGACAATGTTATTATAAAAGATTTACTTTAAATTGAAATTTTTTTATACACTGAACTCGATTTCAAAGTATGTACAAATGAATATGAATGTCCATATTTACCCAATAAACAACCTCCGGACATGGTGGTAGGCAGCTCTCTGCACGTGAAACCTCCGGTGAAGAAAATCAGAAGCATTATCGACGCAGATGTTTTCAATTCTTCACGTTTTGTTTTGTCTGATTTTTACCGATTTAACCACGATCTATTAGGTACCATCCAACGCCATTAGGATTAAAGCGGTAGATCTAACGCCATTAGGATTAAAGCGGTAGATCTAATAGGCAGAGGTAGAACTTAGAATTTGTGGAGAAAAAAAAAGGTTTGAGGCATTTTAATCGGTTGTTGTTGGCAGATGGAAGTTCAATGGCTGACCATTTGTTGCCTGTGAGTAAAGACACGTATCTGTGTGAAAATTGGGCTGAATGTTGATGGGCCGATTCAATAAAATCAAGCTAAAATTATGGTTGATCATTTAATCAACCATTCTTTGTTGATTTGTCTAAAATTGAGCATGCCCCGTAAAATCATACAGTATACTTATGTAGTTATGTGCATATATTTTTATTACTCCGTAATAACTTATGTGGTTAAGCTCGAGATTGAAATTATTTGTAGGTCTTAATTAGTATTTTTTAATTTTTTTATTGAAATACTCACTCTCATATATTTGCACACCCTCTAATCTGATATATCTTCTATTCTAATACTCCCCCGCTCCCCGTTATATTATCCCGTTTTACCTTTTTGCAAAGTCCCACTAATATTGTCTCATATCATATTTGGTAAAGTTTGTGTGGCTCTAAATCATTCTTACTTTATTCTTACTTTATCAATTAATATCAACCACACAAACTCACTTTTCTTAATAATCGTGTCACCCTCCTTCGTACTAATATAAAAGGGACGGAGGTAGTATAAAAGAATTCTCGGTGAGGAAGTTGTCACTCAAAAGTGTCAACATCAAGAGAAATAGTATAAAGAAAAAGAAATCCCAAAAAAATACAATTTTCATGGAGTGAAGTAGATGATGTGTAGGTTTGGGAAGAATGATTGTACGGAGTACTTTTAAAGGGGCACAGTGTTGAGTGTTCCTGCTAACTTCTTCCATTACTTTTTCGTGTACGGACTCAACTAGCATTTTCATAATATTTAATTATGGTTTAATGATGACATAACACCCTTTCACATATTTGCACACCCCCTGATTTGCCATTTACATGGGCAATTTGTGTAAACAATTAATGCAAT